TTGTATTTTTTAACTAGTTTTTAACTCTCTAGCAAAGCAAGAGAGAGCTTCAGCTGTTACCGGACTCGTATGATGTCAGTTCGAGGAAAACATGCAGAGAAACCAAACTACCAGAAATCTATGTTTCCTCCAGATATAAATATTTATATTTAAAATGGCCACCATGCAAAAACAAAGTGTGTGATGCAAACAGAAACTAAGCTGAAAAGCCCAGAAGTATCCAGTTTCACGTGCAAATGTCAGTTATTGCAATGATTTTAGACTTTTTTTTAGACTTTTATAGCAGGGAAGAGATAGCAGATATACTTTAATTTTTACTGATGATGATGAAATGCTAAAGTGAATGGTTTTTATAGATGCTGCAAAATCCACTCATTTGTTCCTGTTGATGTTTTTAACCTTAAGCAAACAATAAATGTATTGTATCCTGCATACTGAACTAAAGTCTAAATAACAGAATTTACTCCTGGTAAATTAGACTGTATTGAAAATGTAATCGGGATTAGTGGTATTGAAGCGCTAGGAATTCAATTCCTTTCCAGTCTTTCTGAGGAACTTGTTCTCAAGCATTAGAAACAGCATTAAGATATTAAGGAAGGACTTAAAAGTGCTGCAAGTTTGAATTAAAATTAGCGGTTTTCTCCCTCTTCACTTGGACAAAAAGACTCAAAATGCTGCTGACAAGCACTCTGCAGTTATTAGTGTCAAAAGTTAGTCATTTTCATTTAATGACTCATGTATGTCAACTGTTTGCTGTATTGTGCTGAAGGACTTCCTGTGCAGACATGAGCTGGCTCTGTTACGCTGATTTACCTAGCGATAATTAGTGAAATTATCCTAACAGTGGAGCAGTTTGGTTTGCTACTCTCAAAATCATCTGCAGGAATGCCAACCAAGACTGCTGGCATTTGTTTTCCTATGTATATGTTTGTGTATGTAGCATTGCTTTAATTTCTACTTCTTCTGTCCTTTTTCCAATGCCTTTCTTTAAGTCGTGGTAGGATCTTCACTTTCTCCTTGGGTAGCTACCAGGGTTGAACAGCAGTTCTCAAATTTTCTCATCTGATGTTCCTGTTTCCTCCCTGACTGGAGGCAGAGAGGAAGTCCAAGTTATCAAAATGCAACCCTTGTTCTTCTCAGTGTCTGCAGCTTGAGGCTGGGAGCCCTCCAGAGATTCCTGTAAATACCATGGGAAGTCACGTGGACAGCCAAATTCTCACATGCAGTTAGTACATTGTACATGAGACCTATTGTTAACTACAAATCGGACCCAGAGTGGCCAATACCCATGAGTGCTTCAGTTTTGACGTAAGATAACTGTCTACAAACTGTTTCCTGCTCTCTAATTCTTTTCTGTGGTCCAGTTTTATACATGGCTGAAATACTTCAGTAACATGAACACTTTTTTTGGTGTTTGTTCCCAGAAGTGCAGTAGTCACTATGAAAAGCATAGGTTAGGGTTTCTCAACACGAGAGCTCACCTTGAAAAGATTTTCAAGTCTGTTTTATCCCTTGCATGACCTACATGATGAAGGAGGAAAAAGAGTAAATGGTAGTATTCTAAGAACTCAAAATTTTTCCCCAAACACGTTGGTTTTTTTGTTGGTGGGTTTGTTTTTTGGTGTTTTTTTTTTTCAATCCAGGTAAACAGTTTATGCATTGCTTCTCAAGTTTTTGAGACAAATACGAAACAGGAAGCCTATTGTTGTTAAGAATTAGTCCATTCAATTGAGACTTCTGGACTTTGGAGCATAATTTCTAGCATGTATGATACCGCAGTGAAATATTGCTGGTTCCTCAGAAGAAAGCATATAGTTTTCCATAGGCTGCATCTCCTTTTAGGACCATTTTCTTCTCTGTCATCTATCAATGCAGTCTGCATGCCAAAAAAAAGAAAAAAAAGTGGTGCTTGCAGCAAGCCAAAAACCAGTAAGCAGAACTTCCCTTGTCATCTGGCCTTCCCAACCACAAAACTGGCTTTTTTGGAGAACACGACCTCTGACACAGAAAGGAGAAATGCTCTGCTGGTGAGCGAATGTCTGCTGAGATGCCTCACCACAGCTCTACAGGGATGTGATGGGAGCATTTTGGAAGTTTGTGAGGAGAAGACTTCGTGCCGATCAGGAACAGCTTCGATCATGGCTTTGCAGTGTTGGAAGAGGAAAGTGTTAAGGTGGGGAAGGTATCTCTTCCCCAGTGAAAAAGCAGGGAAAGCCCAGACCTGCTGCACATTTGTGTGTATGCATGCATGTGCAGCACAAGCTTGCATCAAACTAGAAATGTTTTCCTGTCCTTCACTTTGCCTGCAGTGGTTCCTGCCAACTCTTCTCTCTGTTTTCCTCACCATTATCAGCCCTGGCACTTGGTGCTTTTCCTCATGGGTGGGTTCAGATATAGCTGTAATTTTTTTTGGGGGGGGGCATTTTCCCTTCCATCTCCTTCTGTCATTGGATGGAAACAGCTGAGGATTATAAAAGTCTCCTCTCTGAGTAGTAAAATTAAAAAGTCTGTGATTGGACTCTCATCAATTCTGCTGGGGTTAACTTCTACAGGTGCTTGTGTTACATGAACAAGATAACAATCTTGTGGTGAGCTAGTGAAAACAGTGGAGAGGAAGTAACTGTTTTATAGTTCCTAGGTCAAAGTCACGTAACATTGAGGCAATAGCAGTGTGATTTTAAAGCCATGAAGAAAACCTGATCTGACTGCCACAGTTCTAGCTGAACTGTCCACAGTACTGTGTTTCAGTGCCACTTCCCTCTTCAGCAAGAAAAAAAAGCATACTTTGGCTTAATGTTAAAAATCACTCTGCCAGTTGCATAAGCGGTTCTCATTTTGGTTTAAATTGGTGTCAGACACTGGGGGGGCTGTATGTCAAGATGTTTAAGCTGAAGTGTAGTGTCTAACACTGTGCTAATGCTGTCTTTGGTTGTCCTGTGTTGCCTTCCTCTCGTAAACACTTGTGCTTAAGCCCAGATGTAGGTTTTGTTTTGTTTTGTTTTTCTGGATTGGCCTCTCTGTGTGGCAGTCCCCTATCTTTTCCCTTTCCCAATACAACTTTTGGTTCTGTTGGCTGGTTTGGGGCTGATCCATAGCACTGCTTTCACAAAGTGAGGGCTGGCAAGAGTTGTACCGGACCTTCCTCTCCCACCTGTGCTGGGGCAGCCAAGATGGCCAGAATCCATCCTGCTGGCATGCAGTTGTTGGAGGATTTTTCTCGTTAATCATCAAGTCCTTGAGCCTGGAAAGATTCTGAATGTCTTCAACTCCTCTTGAGTCAGTGGGAGTTCATAGCACTCAGGTTGTTTTGTTTTTTGAAAAATTAGACATTCTGGAAGTAGAGGCATATAAAATGTTTGTGATTTTACTTCATGAAGCTCTTCAGAAAAGGGCACAGAACATGCTATAAATGAAGTATTCAGAAGGGAAAACAAAAATTTCCTGACTTATTCTTGGCACTTGTATTTCATCATGACATTTGGTCTAAGAAAATGTACAAACTCTCAATGTTGCCAATTTATTTTACCCACAAACCAACAGCAGACTGATGATGTGCACACAAAGGTTATTTATTTTGAGCATAGCAAGGGAATGTGAGTGTTCCAAATGCTTCCTTATATCTCCCCATGGGATCTGCTTAATATGTTGCATAATATTTTTCTGTATCTAAGATAGGCATAGTAGGTCTCTTAGTTACTTAAATACACTAGTTGTGTTTCCCCTTTTCTTCTTTGAAGGAAATGTGAGTGGAGAATGAGTAGTTTGTGAACAGTGTTAAATTAAAAAGTGTAACTTCAAAGGCATTTATAGCAATTTACTCTGAAGCTAGAAGCTATCAGTCAACAGATGATGTTCCAAGCAAAATAACTGATTATGTGAGAGGTTAGGCAAGCATCAATCTAGTTGTTGATTGCTTGGACTGGTAGATAATTCCTTAATAGCAAGAAAAAGAAGATAGGACTTGCATCTCTGGCCTTGAGTTCAGGTAGACCCTCTTCTGAGAGCAAGTTTAAACATAACCTATAATAATTTCCCTAATACAAAAGCCACTGGAGTATTTTCTTTGGATGACTTTGGCTGACTCTAAACGCTCTCCATTAGAGATAGAGAGCAAGGTTAAAAAAGGATAAGGGAGTGCCACAAGGAACGTATTTTAGTTCTTGCAAATTTGTATTTCTTTAGAATAGCTTTGCTCTTACAAATTGTGAGAGCATTTGTCTGGAATATGAGGCACAGTTTGACAGTGATCATGTTACTAGGGAAAGCCAGTGGAGTTTAGTGGGCCAAATGTATATATCATTAACTTCATATCATGAGCACATGACAAGATATGACTGCAATCACGTAACTTCAGCATTTACTATGTGGACATAACATTGCTTTCCATTTGCTAGAGTACCAAACTCTTTCTCATTTTGGCAAGAATTGTAAAAAGGGAGTTGTCTGAAGTTACTTTGTTCCATTTCTGGTGTAACTTGTGATAATGTTTCTGCTAAGTTTGTTGTGTACAATTTGCTTGTGGCAGTTGATTGGGCCAATTCTAAATTTATTGGCTAAGCTGCACCTAGCTTGTGCAACAGGAGAAAATTCCCTAACATTGACTTTTGGCTGCAGGTTCTGAAGCATTCTTAAGACCAAAACATGTACTTGTTGTGACTTAAATTTTGATTAGGAAAAGCACCTCAGTATTCTTTTTCTTAATCTGTTATCTAGCATTCATTACTGAATGCTACTTGTTGGGCTGTGTGTGAAGCTGATTGATATTTGAAGCAGTGGTCTTGCACGTATATGAGTCTCACAAGTCATCATGAAATACATGTTGTGACAGCACAAGTAGGTTTCTTTGTAGCACCTTAAATGCCACTCCTAAACTTCTGTGTTCGGCTGGTTGTCCAACAGTCATTTGCTGTGTTTTTATATTCATATTGAATATGCAGTTTATGGGTTTAGTTCTCCCAGGCAGAGCATGCTTTAACATAACTTGTGTTTGTCTTTTTTAGGAATAACATGCTTGGAATTACTTGCTAGTGTTGGTTACCTGCACCCTAGCACAAGAGCTCCAGCTTGATTCTTTTCAGTGCTTCTGTCAGAACATGGGGGAAAACGATGATGAAAAATACAATCAAGCTGGCCAGATATTTGAAAACTTTGTCCAAGCAACAACATGCAAAGGTACCATTCAGGCCTTTAATATTCTCACACGCCAACTTGAATTAGATCCTTTGGACTGTAAGAACTTTTACAGCAAACTGAAGTCAAGAGTAACCACGTGGAAGGCCAAAGCTTTGTGGAACAAGCTTGATAAAAGAGCAAGTCACAAAGAGTACAAACGTGGAAAATCTTGTATGAACACTAAGGTAAGTGGGAAAGGTCATTTTTGAATTCCACAATTTAGAATCTCTTAAACTGAATTATCAGCAGAAGCAAGGTTTCTGCCATCCCATGCAACATGTGTATCCATGAACGTTCCCTTTCATATACTTGAAACTGTGTCTGGCGTTACATGATTTAGACAAATTTTCAGGTATTTTTGTTCTGGAAACACAGCACATAAGAGTAGTTCTAAAAACACCCTCTTTTATAGTCTGTCTCAGGCACAGCAGGAAAGTTTTCTGTTGATAGTAGTGTTGATCAGCCCTAGGATATAAGCTCATAAGGGAGATTTACTAATCTCAGGCTTTTAAGAACTACTTGCTTAATTAAACAGAGTTTTGCAACGTCAGTTATTACATACTCAGCAGGAGCCTCCTAAAGTGCTGCTTGGACTTAGGGGTCGGTCTTTGTCATCTAGCATTGGTTCTATTTGCTAAACAAAAGTAAAAGAAAATAAAGCTCTATTTAAGAAATCAAATATTTGCATTTAAATGCTGCTCTTTGTCTCTCCAAACAGTATATAGATAACTGCTACACAGCACTTGTTAAAGAAAGTGGTCTACTTCATTGTGAAAAGGACAGGAAATTATCTTCAGCACATTGTTCAAATGCTGTGGTTTAATAGAACCACTGCTATAAGTAATGTTAAAACTGAAGGTTCATGCCATCTTATTCCATCTCTTCTGTGGCTGGTCATTTTTAATAGCTTTATGTCAGAGAAGTTCAGATATTTACTGCCTAACGATAGCTAAACTTTGCCAATGAAGGTCTGGTTTTAAGGAGCTGCTTGACTGTACTATTGTAAAACAGAAAGGAATAGCACTTTGGGGTGTACCTAGACACTGGACTGCGGAGGGCATTTTAGTTTGAACTATTGTTAAAATACTTTATGGAAGTGCTACACAGGCAGTGCTGATGGTCTCTCTTGTGCATCATAGAACTGAGTCTTCCAAAAGCATTAGGGACAAGGATATCATATTGCCTTCAATACATTTAGAGGTATCTTTTTATAAATTTCATTTCTGATAAGCTCCCAATTATTATTAACTTTTTGTAAGGTAATAAGTATCCTTAAGACCAATTTCTTTAGAAGAGGAATTATGTCATTATGGCTTTTTGCACTGCTTTCCTGACTGCCTCTGTTTTTCTTCTTTCCTTTTTCTCATCTTTTCCCTTTGTGGCCTCTGCTTCCTCCCTCTTTTTGATCTTTTGAAAAGGCTTTGAGTATGTCATTGTGCATCTGTGTGATAAAAACAGACAGGAAAGGGAAGGAATGACAATGTGTGTGATGTTTAACAAGTTGTGGGAGATGTTCTACATACACCTCACTTGCACGTACAGTCCCAAGTCCAAATTTCCATGGTTAGTTTGAGGAAGTATTTACAACACAAAACAGTTTTAAGACTCATGTGAAGTATGAAGTGAAGCCCTGCTCAGTCAAGTGTGACATTACAAAGCCAAGGCCTGCTTCTGCAAAGTCCTTCAGCCAAGTCATTAATTTCTATACATGGTGTAGAGTCGTGGAAATCAGTTAGAACATGAAAAGCTTAATACAGTCTGCATTTTAAGGTTGCCAAGCAAGTGGCTAATCAGCACCTCTTGCAGTGTTGAAAGTATGGTGTTCCTACTCTGAGGGTAAAGGTTTATTTGTAGTGGCATGGTGTAAATATTTGCAGAAATTGAAGGACATAAGCCGCACATATGATCAACTTGCAAATGAATGTAGAATGCCTGTGTATGAACAGGACACATACAAATATTCTGTGCAATACTTGGATGTTCATTATGAATCCAAACCACGCCTGGACCTGCATTTCAATGTGTCATCACTGATTTAACGAGAGAAACATGAATCTTCAGATTACTGCAAATGAGAGCAGTGACCACAGACTGTGAGCTCTTTGGGGATATCTAGCAAACATTCCTCCAATGTGAATCACAGTCTGCTACGAAAGCCTATCTATGCAATATGAGTGAGAGGAGACACGTTGCAAGGAGGCAGCAAACTCCCTGATCGTTGCCGTGGTGTACTCTTGATAACTCCACTTACAGATAAACAATTATCTGAGATGCTGGTATACCTAGGCTGCAGTATACATACCAGGATATTCCTTTTGTGCAGCAGGAGATTTCAAATTCTTGTTTTTCTTCCATGTTATACAGTTATCAGCAGGCAAGCAGGAGTTGTGCAGGTGAAACTAAAGCAGAGCCTAGTGCTTAACTGTGTGGAGTTGACTGGGGGCTGGGAGTGGATTGGTTGGAATCAAAATTCTAGTTGTTAAAGCAGCATCACAAAATAAGCTCTTTGCTGTTACAGTTCTGTAAGCAGAGCCAAGCCAACAGTCATTGTTTAAAAATAAAAAATGACTTAAAGGTTGTGACCATGAGTTCTATAGCTGATTCAGCAGGTCGTAGTTCTCAGATATGGTTTTTCTGTTGGCTTCTAACAATCTTCCCAATCTTTGAAAGAGATAAAATATAATCAGGCTCTGAACTATTCCTCATGCTATGTATGTGTGTGTCTGTTGTGGGCTTGGGAGGATTAGGTTTTTAAATTAAGAAAATAAGAACCTGCTGCCCCACTCAGTAACTGGTCAGTTTGTGCACAGTGCTTAAGAGCTGAATACAGTCCTTGTTGTTTGTTGGGTTGCTTTTTTTTTTTTTTTTTTTTTTTTTTGCTTGTAAAATCTTCAGCCACACTTAAGTTACTTTCATTGGAGTAACAGTATACACAAATTTCCTACATGCAGAATGTTCCATTCCAACTAAATAACAATAACTCATTGTCGTAACTGTTCTTGAAGAACGCTGCCAAATAAAGCTTTCAGAGTTTCTGCAACGATATGATTTTAAGCTGGATGAATAAAAGCAGTTAAACCATTTTCAAGACGTTCAAACCCACTGCTATTTCAGAGTAGAGTTATTTGTGGACTTCAATTTTCCCTTTCTTTGTAGGGAAAAAATAAATAAAAATAAAACACTGCAGAAAGGCATGCATAAAATTGCGGTAGAAACTTTTTTGACTCTATGAGTCAGTCTGTACGTATGCTAAATTTGTATCAAACATCTTCCTTCTATGACAAACTTATAAATTGGGAATTAAGCTGTTCTGAACTGCTGGTCCTTGGAGCTGACACTTTCTGGCATTTGGCAAAACTCTAGAAATCATTCTGTGCTTTTTCAGATACGTCTAGAAAAAGAGCACAGATTAGTTCTTGTGGTAACACTTGTCGCTCATTTTCATCTTGTCGGTTTGGAGGAATCTGCACAGAATCTGTAATGATAATTTCTTTGTGAAGTGAAACATAGCTGGACAATCAGAGAAGGTCAAAGGTTTAACATACAATGTTTGCCATGTTAGCAGCTTGAATATCTCTCTAAATTTTTGAACATGGGAAGCATAGTATGATAAGAAGCAAGAATTCATCCAGCTGTTTGCAGAGTATATTCAACAGTGTTTTCAAGACGTACATGTGTGCTCTAATCTTTTATTCTTAATTTCTCTGTATGGATTAGGTTCTTCACTTCAAGATTTGCTGTCAGTTTGCCCATGTGAATGATACAGAAACAAATATGTGCATATAAAGCAGGCTCCCGCTGATGTTTGAGATGCATGCATATGTATCAGAGGGCAGGACCTGGTTCATGCTGAAATTCTGGCTCTCCCACAACTGCAGATCTGTGCTTGAGGAGAGCAGAAATCTCTTTGTGTGAAAACATCCCAGACTTGCTCTGAAGGGAGGTGTTGATTCTCTAAAGCATGCAGATGCTGTTTTTTCAAAACACATTGATACTCGAGGAGAACTAAGTAGACTTTAAGGAGCTAATGTGTAATTATTAGTTGTCTTGGTAGACTCTAGCATTTGTCTCTGGGTGAATCCAGTTTTTGATTGTGGTGGTGTACATGGATAGAGTACTAGACAGTTGGAGTTCTGGCTTTAAGGCCTAATTAGGCTGTACTGGCATAAAATGAGAAAATGAAACTGGGCTAGGAACTTTCAAATGTTGTGTGTATGTAAATGCATATGTATGGACATTTATAGGTATATGAGCATATACATGTATAGATATCACACAGATTCCTGCTAAGCAGATGGAACAATTTAGAACTCAGTCCCTGCTGTCTTCTCTAGCTTTCCTTGTTCCTGGATGTGGTCTTTCAAATCTGGTTTTATAATAGATGAACTTCCTTTCCAAAAACTCCTGTTGGGAACGTTACTGCGAGAAAATGACTCAAAATCATTTATGGCTACATTTCCAGGGCTTGTGTAAAGCCATAGCGGCTCTTCTCAGTAGTGCTATGTGCTGTCAGTCCTATCCAGACTCAGTGGCATTGGCAGCTGAGCTGTACTGGGAGACTCTGTGGGCCCCTCTGTTGGGGTGCTAATTTGGAGAAGTGGTGTTAGGGAGGAGATTGTGTGGCTTAATGGGATGTGGGAGTGGAGTGGAGTTGAGGGCTGGGGTGTGAGTCATCCAAGGAGGAACTTGGGGTCTGAAATGGGGATGGAGGCTAGAGGCTTTGTGACTGACTCAGTGCTGGCTCTGAGATTTGTCTGCCTGTACTAACCATGCTGGTGCACCCACAAATGATAAAACAGGATTGCCAAACCCCATTCATTTCTTTTCATATTGTTCTCATTTCCAAAGACTGTCAAATGCGTGCTTTGGGGATTAATAAAACCTACTTCATCTGCTGTTTTCCTTCCCGCAGTGTTGAGAAAGCAAAAGATATGCCTGAGGCATGCGGCTGCTGCCACGTTATGTAGCCACAGGCTAACCAGCAGGATGAGGAGTGAATTCCAGGCCTCTCTCCTTGTTATTAGGTAGAAATTGTCTTCTTGTCAGTGCTCAGTTGTTTACAAACATCCCATTGTAGCCTTGCCTCTTGTAGCAAAAGAGTCAGGCTGGCTTGTGGATGTCTCTCCCCCTCTACACTTTTCTATGAAGTTCTAAACAAATATTTGTCTCTTTGTTAATCAAATCA